GCAGGGAGCCTGATGCGGGGCTCGATCCCAGGACCCTGGGACCATGACCTGAGCCGAAGGCAGACGCTTAACCGACTGAGCCACCCAGGCGCCCCTGAAGCGTTCTCTCTTAAACCTGCGTCCAGTTTGCAGGCGCACTTGCAGTGGCAAAGGTCCCAGGACCTAATGCACAGGCACCTGGGGAGTGGCCACAGAACTAACGTCTGAGTCTGAATGCCCTTGGAGCAGCCATGTGGCTGGGATCCAGATTGCAGGCTCGCCCAGTTGCCCCAGGGTCAGAGGCGTGGGCAGTCTCACCGTGGCAGTGGCTTCGGTGTCTAGATGCAGGTGTTTTACAAAACGGCCATGGAGCCAGGGTCTAGGATGAGAGCTAGCCCACAGTGGTGGGGGCTTCGGAGTCTGAGATGTGGGAGTGCTTGAAGTGGCTGTAAAACAGTCTGAGGCGTGCACGGGTTTGGGAGGAGGTGGCCCTGGTCGTTGGATGTTACCACAGCAGCTTCTTCTTTGGATGAGGGGAGTGGTGTTGCAATGTCAGCCACTTTAGGGGTCAGTGGTGATGACGATTGATTGTCTCAGTGGGGCAAGGTCCTGGTGTCCTCTCCAGAAGGAGCTTGTGGGGTTCATACTGGTGAACATGATGTGGTCCTCCAGGCTGAAGAATACGGGGAACCCACAGCTGCTAGCTGCCATGAGGGCTGTTGAGGTCCTCAGAGGTAAAGGCTGCCAGAGTCCTCCGCACAGTAGGCTACTGGGGACCAGGGTGGCACCTGCGATGCGGATGATACTGATAAACCCTGCCCTTTTTCTTTGTTTTTAGCCAACTCCAGACATCTCAGCTCTGCCAGTCTCTCCAGCAGCCCTTTCTAAGCAGTTGTCTGTTTTTGCTCCATTGTGTTGCTGCAGCAGGTTCAAAGTGGATTCTTAAGCCCTCCTAGGGCTATTTTAATTCATGGACTGCTGTCTGATAGTTGTTTTAAATGGGGGTACAAAGGCTGGTATCTCCTACCCCAACATCTTGCTGATACCACCTACAATTTTTATAGATACATGACAATGAAATGCACTTAAAACAATATCCAAAATATTGCCAAAATATCACAATACCCAGAACTCTTATTTTTTATATTTAAATATTACCTCATTTATAATTTAAAATATACATTTAAATTTAGAACTCCAAGCTTTTATGATCCTAAATAGTTCTGTTAAGTGTTTATAATTTCTGATAATTTATCACAAATTTTCCTCTGAGCAATATTTTGCTTATATTTGATAAGTGTTAATACATAGGGATAGGATTGGTTATTTGCTAAATATCCTTTTATTAAGGCTTCGATTTTTTTAATCTAGGAGTATCCTTAATTCTTTTTTTCATTTTCAAGTAACAGGGTTTTCATTTGATTCCACTATTTTTTGTGATTTCTAGTTTTGTTGCATTGATTTACTATCTAAAGTACTATCTCATCAATTTTTTAGATGTTTAACAAGTGTGTTATACTCTTAACACTAATATTAGCATGTAATAAAAATGAAGCCAAAAGTAAAATTGAAAACAGATGGAAAAACTTTTTAAAGATAAAGTGTATTTATTTTTACCTCAGAGGGGGTAAAATTGGCTTGATTATATTTATGCAAATATCAAATATAAAAACATAAAAGTAAATGACAGGAATAGGATGTTATAATAAGCATCTTACCTCACATTTCATGTAAACTCATGAAACAAAAAGTAGATAAAAAATAAATAATGGTGAAGAGGATCTAATTGATATAGCCATGAAACTTGTAGTGATAATTCACATAAACTGTTACTTTTTATGGAACAATTTTGTAGTTATTTTTGATAATTTGAGACTTAGATATAACACCAAAGAAGTAGTGCCTTGCAGGTGTGTAATCATTGATGCCTAATTATTTAAAAAGTAATATAGTTTGTCTTTGTCAGGCATAGACTAACTGATGTGCTGATGTATTGCTTTAAGGGAAGACCAGCAGTAACTCAAATAGAGACCAGACCATTTCTGGGAGAATTAGGACAGCAGACAAAACATGGTTATGTAACATGGACTTCAGACTTGGTGGTATAATATAGAATTAGAAAATTTTTGTGTGATCTATAATTAGAATGTTTCCCAGCAGCAGGTGCATAGTAACATTTTAAACAAATATAGTGCATCGTTCATCTCTTTTACATAACACCATATTATTAATAAAAGGCTTATTAATAAAAGGTTTCATGTTTGGGGTGCCTGGGTGGCTCCATCAGTTAAGTGTGGGACTCATGATTTTGGGTCAGGTCATGATCTCTAGGTCCTGAGATTGAGCCCTGCCTGGGCTCTGTGCTCAGAGCAGAGTCTGCCTGAGATTCCGCTGAGATTCTGTCTGCCCCTATACCTCCCCATGCGCATGTGTGTGTGTCTGCTCTCTCTCTTGCTCTTTAAAATCAATCAATCAATCAATCAGTCTTTACAAAAAAGGATTAATGTTTAATTAATAATAATAATATGTTCACAAGGAAGAATATTGAGGAAATTACATATTTTTCAGTATTACATTTAGATTATGCTTCTTGAAATAAGACCCATCATTCAAAAAATATTTCTTGTGTGTTTTCTAAATACCGGACTCTACATAAAGCAGACAAAAGCCTTGCACTTTTGGAAATTGTGTTTTCAGTTTGGTAAGGTTGGGAAGATGAAAAATAGAAAATATCCAATTTGAAACAAATATTGTATAAGTATGTATTTTTCTTTAAATTAGCATGAATCGTTTCTTATGCTGTATCTGTTTTAATTATATTTTATTTTTATTGAATAAATCTTCAAATCTTTCAATTTTAGCCAATTTCTGAAATCTTTATTACTCCTGGGAAATTGATTTCGTGAAATCGGTTTATCTCTAAGTTTTCATATTAGGGGATATTTTTGTCATTTCTAGGCCTTCCCCTCTTTCCTCCCTTCTTTCTCTTAAAAAAAAAAATTCAATTACTGAGTTTCGACAATCAGTATAAATTATGATGATTTTTGATAATTTTATGAGATTTTTAAAATGGATTTAGGAGGTTATTTTTGAATTCCATGACTTTTCCTGAAGCTCTATGGATTCGGAGTTTGATTCCTATTTTGTTTTCCACAGGAGACTGCTGTGACTGAAACCAAAAAAGTGATATCAAAGGTCAGCGTTTTAGGTAACGAGACACGTGAGGCAGATATATTTTTTTAAACATTTTGATGCTTCTCAAACTGCACATTAACACCCTGCTATATTATCGACAGCTCGTATGGGCAAAGCAATTTGTCTTTGTTGTAGTGGTGGTTGTCTGTGTTGGTGACAACAAGCACATAATGACACAACATGCCTTTGTCATAATACTGAACCATGTGAAGTTACTGTGATTTTGTGAACATTCTGGAGCATTACAATAAGAAAAACTCCACGTACCACAGTCTGTGGTCAAATGCTTTTTCCTTTAATAAGATTTCCTGAAAAAATGCATTTTATAGCCATTTGATGAAATATGTGGCATGTAAAATTCAAACGCTAAAATATAAAGCTTGTCAGCTTATTGTTTTGATGGAAATTTGTATATATATTTACTGAAATACAGGCACAACATATTTTCCATGTTATCTCTTAAATGTTTTATATAGTTTTGGGTATAGCAGCCCAATACTAATTGTTACATTTTCTAGGAAACTGTTTCTTTATAGTTACAATTGCCTAAATCCCTTGAAATCAGTGTATTTACAAAAAAATATATATATATACATTGTATGACAAACAAAAAAACTGGGAACAAAATGGTGTATAGAGATACATAACCTAAATTAATATTTTTAATGGGTTTTTAAAATATATTTTTGTTTGCTAATTTTCCCTGGGAATTACATTTCTGCAACTTAGGAAGCTGGAATTTCTTCCCATTAGAGATACAGTAATAACTTTGTAATTAGTGAAATCATTGTCACACTGCATAATCAGCTCATTGAACACATACATTATAGTAAGAAAAAATAATAAAAAATCCTTGATAGTAACATAACTGTCCCATTAAAGTCTTGATTAACTTTATAACAATAATGTAGTATCATTTTACTTTTATAAATTAGCAGACAAATTGGAAATATATCAAACAATGCTTCTGTATCTTTACAGAAGGGAGGGATGCTTAATTAAAATAATATAATGCTGGCAACATTAATTTCTTATTGTGGGGATTTAGCAACTCATTTCAGAATGTGAGGCCAAAATTATATTTCAGCAGTTTTATGTTAAATGTTTCAAGGAAAGCCATACGGCCCTGGGCACTGCATGACAGACAGTCGTATCAGAAACAATTGATGTGTGTAATGACAATTGCGAGCAACCTTTCCAGATGAGCTGACCCACCCTGATTCCACCCTGCTGCTCCTGTTTGGTCAGCAGGTACCTTTCACCATCTGTTTCTCTCATAGCAGCTGAATTGTTTCTCTTATTGTGCACCTAGATGGTAAAGCATGTTGGATATGAAATATGGCTTATAGGTCATAGGATACTCTAAGTATTTCTGTTTAATTTGGAAAGACTAATTTTAGCTTTTAATGCATTTTCCTTTGGTGGTAGGAAAAGAGTTTTTATTCTGAGCGTAATCAGACCAAGGCATGTAAATTTTTAATAGGGACTGTACCAATAATTGCAGAGATTGCTGTAATTTGCTGTTTGTATTATTAACATCCTTAGGATGATATAATAATCATTCCTTCTAACTAAGTACTTCGCATGATTACTAAACTGGCCAGAAAACTAAGAGCCTCCGAGAAAACATGTACACTCCGTTGGTTTAAAATTTTGACATAATTTTTGCATTGTTATCGTATGACTTCCCAAAAGATCAAAACTTACATTAAGTTTTTTTTAATCTTGTATTAAAATTTATTAATATTTTTATATTTTAATAGAGCCCCAATTTTTAATATTATATTCAGGAGATTACATTTATGCCTCCTTGAAGCAGTTCTGTTCCTCTTGGTTTTGGGGGAATGGGAGATAAGAAATTGAGTCATGCTAGGATTCTTCTAGAGAGTGATGTGTAGAGACACATGCAACAGATGGGTAGAGAAATGGTTCATTCTTGAGAGAAGAAGGAAGAGCAGCTGAAATCTGAACATAGTCATTATAATCCATTTTTCCAAAAACATTCAATACTCTGACAAACTAATATTTCTAAAATGTGATTTTCATCACATTTCTCTTTATTTAGCTTAATGTAATGTTAATGCAGAGAAAATCAAGAGTGCTGGTTTTGAGTTATTCCATTAGCTATTTTTATAACCCTGGATCAATAATTCAAAATCCAAAGTCTTTACAGTGACCTCCCAGGTCCTGAGTGATGTGGGCTGCAGTAATTCTGTGAACTTCCCTTTCATTCTTGTCCTTCTCATTCACTTGGCTCTAGTCTTAGTAGCTTCATGACTATTCCTCAAACTTGCCAAATCCTTCTGCACTTTCCTCTGCCTAGATCATACTCCAGGCATTTCACTTTCTTCAGTTCTTTGATCTAAAGTAACCTTATCCATGAGGCTTTCCTTGACCATTTAATGAAAAATTGATTCCATCCACAAGAACTTCTCTGTCTCTCTTAAGCTCCTTTAATTTTCCTCAAGCCCTTTCCAAGTATCTTGACCAAATTTGTATTCATTTATTTGTTTGTTTTCTCATCCTCCTTGCTAGAATATGAACTCTTAAGTGGCACAGGCTTTGTCTGCTTTGCCTATAGTATAATCCCCAGATCCTAGAACAATGCGTGGCACATAGCAGACATGCAGTAAATAGTTGCTACATGAAGGAAGTCATTCAGCAACCACTTAGTGACCTCTTTGTGCGAGCATCCTTCTACGGGGGCGCCGGGTGGCTCAGGCGGTTAAGCTTCTGCTTTCGGCTCAGGTCGTGATCCCAGGGTCCTTGGATCGAGCCCCGCATCAGGCTCCCTGCTCAGCGGAAAGCCAGCTTCTCCCTCTGCCTCTCTGCCCACTCTTGCTCTCTCTCTCTCTCTCAGATAAATAAATAAAATCTTAAAAAAAAAAAAAAAGCATCATACTATGGATGGACTAGAGATACAATGCTGAATAAGTCAGGGGTCTTCCCTCTTGTGAAGATAAATTCTTAGGTACAAATTACTTATAGTCTGATAAATCTTTACATTATTTAACTTCTCTTTACCTATTGTTCATTAATGAAGGGTTAATGCTACTCACTAAGGTTTCTTTCAGTTATACAGTTTTTTTAATATTACTATTCTAAGGTCAAGTTAGAGTCCAGATCCTCCTTAATCTACCTCCATTTCACTATTCTTGCTTATTTATCTCTAAAGCCTCTTTTATAAGCAGCAACCTCTATTCCTAAGAGTATGCCCTCAAAATTATCAACCCTGATCTTGTGTAAAAATTCTTCCTTTTACCGAGATCATTCTCTTTGCTCATCTTTGTCTGTCTGAATTGTTGTCTACTTTCAAAGGGGATCCAAGTCCCTCTTATCTTGACTTTACTAAATCAACTCACAGTGATTACAAAAAGAACTTGCTGATTAGTTTATTCAATTTTATGTGCAGTGAAGAAACAAACTGAGAACTAGACACATTACTTCTTACTAAAAGTCTCTTGCTTGTTGATGACAAATTTTGCATGTGTCCCCAGGCTTCCAACTCAGAAATCTTTTGTCTAGACCCAAATATCATGTATTCCTTTGTACTGTTATCTTGGTCTATTCAGGCTGCTATAAGAGAATACCACAGATGAGGTGACTTATATACAACCAAAATGCATTTCTCACAGTTCTAGAAAATGGGAAGTTCAAGATCACTTCATTGGCAGCTTTGTTGCGTGGTGAGGCCCTACTGCCTGATTTATAGGAAGGCCTCTTCCTGCTGTGTCCTCACATGACCCCTATCTGGAGTCTCATTATAAAGGTTCTAATCTCATTCATGAGGGCAGAGCTCTCATGACCTGTTGATGCCCCAAAGGTCCTACCTCCAAATACCATACATCAGGGATTGGGTTTCAACATACGAATTTTGGGGGAATACAGACATTCAGTCTGTAGCAACTGTTAGCTATCGTTTTCTTTATAATGCCAACTAAACACAAATTAGGTGAAATATGTTTTATGTTGGAAGATGCAAGGCTTTTTGACTTAATGATAACTCTCAGAGCTTTCAAAACTTTTTCTTTTCAGAGTATCTGATCCTTTTGTACTATTTTCTGAAAGAGATCTGGGGTCTTCTCCCTTGTGAAGATAAATTCTTAGGTACAAATTATTTACAGTCTCTGTTTATATCACAAATTAGAGTACTGTAATATCTTCTACAAAAACATATTCACACACCCTTATGTATATGTATGCATAGGTCTATGTTTCATCTCTTTTTCTAAATGCAAAAGCGAGCACAATAGAGATACTTCTTAATCTATGCATTTTTCACTTAATACATTTTTTGGAGATTTCTTTCATATTATTCCTTGTTTTGTGTAATGCTTGCAGAGTATTCCATTATACAGAATATAATAATTTAGTTAACTAGGACCTAGGTATCTCTTGATAGATTCTTTAGGTATTTTCATTGTTTTGTTTTGCTATTCCTAATAAGTGTAATGAATGGAATATATATATGCATATATATGTATATATATGCATATATATATTTATAAATTTTATGTACACACACTACATAAATAGTTTTTCATAAATTTATGGGCCATTTATTCTTTTTTGTGAACCTACATGTTCCTATGTTTGGTTGATTTTTGTATTGATGCAGTCATCCTTTCCTTTTAAATTTGTATGGGCTCTTTGTAAATTGAAGGTATTAGCTCTGTGTCAAGTGTTGTAAATATGTTTTGCCAGTTGTCATTGGTATTCACTTCTTTGAGATTTAAGACAACTCATGAAAGTAAGGCTGTGAAAGCTACTCAAAATTAAGTGGATATCTGAGGCAATTATTCAGTGGAGTCTACCCAAGAAAAAAATGCTCAATCAGTTTAATATTTCAAAAGGAAATGTTAATTTGGCTTATTTTTTAGGAAATAAAATAGCTGGCATAGCAAAATAATCTTTTATCTGGAGTGCAATGGCATAAATAATATTGAATAGCTTCTGCAACACAGTTCATATATCATTTTAGACGTATTGTAGGTGTCACAGGGAACTTTTTCT